GTGTTTCCGTAATAGGTGGAAATACAAGTACGTTTTTTGTGTTTTTATTGCTATTTTACAAACTTTTTGTTTAATTTTAATCACGGAATGTGACTTTTAGAAATTACTTTACAATATATCAAAAGTTTTGTTTTCGTTCGTATTCTCCTTTAATAGAACTCTTTCTATTACTTCATCTGACAGATTTTCAGACAAGATAACTTTACATTATCACCTTAAATAAGTTTGATGTTGTCAGAATATTTATATATATATATATATAAAAAATTCACAGTCATATGAAACGTTGCATTTTAGATCTGAGACCTCTGGCTTGTTAAGTGGTTTTCTCACTCTTGATTATTGTTAAATATTTACCCCTGCTTGTGTAATCAGATCAATTTATGTCTGTACAGAGGAATGTTTAAAGGTGCAGCTCTAAAATGCAACAGCCAAGGTGCAACACATTAGGTGTATCTGTTTGCTTTATTTCCATTTAGGTAACAAGGCTGGGATACCCAAATGTAATACAATCAGATTCAAATCTAGTGATAGACACAAAAATCATGAACTTTGTAACTAAACCTGTAGCAACTGTTTGAAATTGAAAATATTCCACAACTATCACTTGCTTTGGTGTAGAACAAGGTCAATAGCATTTGATTTTCATTGGTATCAGCATATCCATAACTGCCAGATGGTATGTTAGGGATTGTAACTTGCATGAACAAATTTGACTAGATGTTATTCAAGAGCAACAATTATATTGTTAATAGTCAAAGGTTACTTACAGTGTTATGCCAGTGATTGCAGAGAAGCAAGTCATATTAATGCATATACACCTGACACCTGCACTTGAAGGCTATTTGACCAACAGGCCTGGTGTACCTTCTCCATGTTGTTCCTGATACTCACTGACCGGTACAGGACTGCATGTAATACATCATCAGTAGTCTGAGCTCATGAATCCTGAGGACTGCATGGCCTTATAGTGGCCTTACTGTGTGTCGTCATACCCATAAGATGTGGAATCCTGCTCATGAATCCTGAGGACTGCATGGCCTTAGAGTGGCCTTACTGTGTGTCGTCATACCCATAAGATGTGGAATCCTGCTCATGAATCCTGAGGACTGCATGACCTTAGAGTGGCTTTACTGTGTGTCGTCATACCCATAAGATGTGGAATCCTGCTCATGAATCCTGAGGACTGCATGGCCTTAGAATGGCCTTACTGTGTGTCGTCATACCCATAAGATGTGGAATCCTGCTCATGAATCCTGAGGACTGCATGGCCTTATAGTCAGAATGGCCTTTACTGTGTGTCGTCATACCCGCCATAAGATGTGGAATCCTGGAATCCTGCTAATGAATCCTGAGGACTGCATGGCCTTAGAGTGGCTTTACTGTGTGTCGTCATACCCATAAGATGTGGAATCCTGCTCATGAATCCTGAGGACTGCATGGCCTTAGAGTGGCTTTACTGTGTGTCGTCATACCCATAAGATGTGGAATCCTGCTCATGAATCCTGAGGACTGCATGGCCTTAGAGTGGCCTTACTGTGTGTCGTCATACCCATAAGATGTGGAATCCTGCTCATGAATCCTGAGGACTGCATGGCCTTAGAATGGCCTTACTGTGTGTCGTCATACCCATAAGATGTGGAATCCTGCTCATGAATCCTGAGGACTGCATGGCCTTAGAGTGGCTTTACTGTGTCGTCATACCAGAAGATGTGGAATCCTGCTCATGAATCCTGAGGACTGCATGGCCTTAGAGTGGCTTTACTGTGTGTCGTCATACCCATAAGATGTGGAATCCTGCTCATGAATCCTGAGGACTGCATGACCTTAGAGTGGCTTTACTGTGTGTCGTCATACCCATAAGATGTGGAATCCTGCTCATGAATCCTGAGGACTGCATGGCCTTAGAATGGCCTTACTGTGTGTCGTCATACCCATAAGATGTGGAATCCTGCTCATGAATCCTGAGGACTGCATGGCCTTAGAATGGCCTTACTGTGTGTCATCATACCCATAACATGTGGAGTCAAGTGGTTGCATACAACATAAACTCACTTCACCTCACTTCTAAGAACTGACAATGTCAACACTAACACCAACACCAACATTCAGACTGAAAAATAGGTTGTGTTATATGATATTCTCACAGGCGCTTTCAACCCTCCAGGAACACTCTGCTGACTCATAAAGTTTGTCCTCAACAGGAACTGCCATACTTAACCCTTTCAGTCTTTAAACTGTAATGTGATAGATAAAGGCTGAAGGTACTGTCCCGTATGTCAATGATCGTATTGTCATTGAAAAGAATTTGAAATGTCATTCGTGGGGATTTATGATAGCCCAAGAACAGGCACTACAACAACAGTAGGAGGATTTGTTTTTATGATGTGTCGGTCTGAAATTCAACTTTAAAGTGTGTGTTCAGTCCAATAATGAGGTAATATATCTCTGTGGGGGTGTCAGTTTGATTTACTCTTAACCCCATAGTGGATACAAGTCTAAACACTGTTGTATTTTCTGTGTCATTCATGATCCTTTACTGCTTAAGATTAGCAGCACAAGGACCAGCTATGATCATTGGACCAATAAAAACAAGAGGAACACATCATTTATATACCCTGCAGCAACAACATTCTGTTTAGGCCAGGGCTCACTTGCACAAAGTGATCTTAGTGCTACGATGATTTTAACTCCCACACTCCAACATAAACTTAAGACTGTCTTAGAGCTGATTGCTTTGTGCAAGTGGGCTCAGAACAGTTTTGTTTTGTATTCCATGGAATCAAATGCTCTGAACTTTGCAATAGTGAAAATAAAGTAAAATCACTGTTCATTGTTTAATATGCTTATTTTCATTTTGATTGTACGTTTATTATCTTTTGTATTTGACCCCTGAGATGTTCCTAGACCGGGGCCCTTCAGGCTTTCTACTGGATAAACAGTTTAGATGAGGCTGAATTAAATATATATGTCCAGGTAATATATATCAGGAAGTAAGGAAATCAAATAAACTTGTTTAAAATACAGTAAAAGCCAAAATCACACTTCAGTCAAATGTCAGTACCTTTCTGTTTTTTTAACTACTCACAAAGTTGTACAAGAGATGTTTGTTTATTTCAAAGACATTCAATTATCACAAACATGTCACAATAAAAAATAAATTATACAAAATGGAATGCCATTTTCAGAAATATCAGTATTTCATCACATAGTTGAAGCAGTCATTCATTTCAATAAAGCAATCTACAGAAAAGAAATGGAGATTGTAGAGAAAATCAATGTTGTTTGATGTATGTATGTCCCAAACATGTTTCATTCACACTGATTTAAACACAGGTATGTATGGGAAGAATCATGATAAAAGAAAACCAGTTGTCTTGACCAAAACTTCCATGCTCCAATCCAATTTTATCATCGACACATATAGTTATTCCACTGTTGCATTCCAACCATTTTATGCATTAGTCTATGAATCACCATCAAACAGTGATGATACCAGGTGTTTGCGAAACATTCATAAATCAAGTCAGAATCAGATTCGAAAGACAAAATGATAATGGAACAGTCAGGGTGGTGGGATAGCCTAGTGGTCAAAGTGTTCGCTCGTCGTGCTGAACACCCCAGGTTCGATTCTCCACATGGGGACAATGTGTGAAGCCCATTTCTGGTGTCCCCCGCCGCGATATTGCTGGAATATTGCTAAAAGCGGCATAAAACCATACTCACTCACTAATGGAACAGTCTAATTTTCCTATGGTATTGTCAGAATGTATAAATTGTAGTGGTAATCATTTGATGAAATAAACCCATGTGGGGTATCAAACCTTGACACTGAACAGATGAGTGAAGTTCATTGAATGGCTGGCCCAATGGTGTAAGGCACCAAGGCGGCATATACTGGCATCCACTAGACAGAGGTTTAAGTCACAGGTTGGCTTCAATTATTTTGCTTGTTTTATAATGCATACATCAATATTTCAGCTACATGACTGTGGTCTGTATATGATTGAATCTGGACCAGACACTACATCGATTGACATGAAATTAACCAAGTCATTCAACCTGACCATCTGATCCTGTTAGTTCTCATGACAAGAATGGGTTGCTGAAAAAAACAAAACAATTCAAACCCACATTTTCACTGCAGGGCTCGATTTAAGATACGTTAACCTACTTGCACCAGGTGCAACCTACGATAAAAACCTAGTTGCACCAGCCAAATTCCAGTTGCACTGCTTTTATTGCAATATGTAATGAAAGAAATATGCTATTGAATTATTCAACGTTTAGAAGACAAATGAGCTGACATAATTATGCTTGTAATGTTAGATTTATTGCTGATATATTTCTAAAAAATTGACTTGCACCTGGTGCAAGTTAGACAAATAACTAGGTTGCACTTAGTTATATTGGGTTGCACCAGTGCAAGTAACAAAGCACTAAATTGAGCCCTGCACTGGGAATGGAAATTATTATCCTTTGAACTGTCAGTACGATATCCTTGATAGTGTGTGGCATTAGACTTTCCTTCTTCACTTGGCTGGCATTTCATGATATAACAACTGAAATACTGAAACTGTAATACTGAAAGTAAGGCTGTGTGAAACCATCCTCAATTTCACAGAGAGTGCCCTGAGTATCTCCCACACAATGTGGACAGTGTGCAGCTGATGTCAAACATGCTGTCCATAGCAGCACCCTTCCGAGTCTCCCTCTTGTTTACAGCAAGTCCACAAATACAGAACCCGGATCAGCTGACCACCCTCAGTATACTTCTCCACTCGTTCTTTACTCTTAGCATGGTAGAGACAGGCCATCTTGTGGTTGTCGATTGACCGAAACAGTTTCTGACACCTGAGGCACTTGGATACCTTGCCTACCTGAGGTTTGAAAGCTTTGAGCTGAGACAACGTAGCAGACAGTTCTGCAGTCTTTTTCACTTCCAGTTGCCTGTATGTTTCCTTGGGAGGACCTCTCTCAGAACTGCTACGTTTATCATTGTTTTTATTTAAGTGCTTAAGATTCAGTTTTGGGATAGGTGCATGAAGATTAAGAGTTTTTGTTGTCATAACATTTGGAGCTCCTTTCACTTCAAAAGAAGCTTTTTGCCAGTTCTTTTTCTGCCAGTGTGTCTGCTTGAAGGTGCCTGTCCATCTGCATTCAGTATGAGAGGGGACAGGTCAGTGTCGTGTGCTAAGCTGAGGTTATGGCTGTTAGTCACTGGCCCTGTGGATTTGCGCAGTCTGTCCATACTTGCTATGGCATCATGGAGGGAATCCTCCAGCTTCTTGGCTCTCTGTTTCAGAGCATGGAGTTTCTCCTGTGATATGTGGATTGTAGAGGGGTCTGTGCCCTGTTTGGGCATCTGGGACTCGGTTGCTGGTCTCTGGCTTGTTTTGCTAGAGGATGTCTTTTGTAGAGAAATGACACTTTCAGTTGATGGTCTCTGAGATTTATTTGGTCTTGTTTGATCAGCAGCTGTTTCTGTTAACGTTGATTTGTCGACCATTTTTACCTGAATATAGACATGATTCTGTTCATTTATTCTTATTGAGAATAAATCTACAACACTGATATTCATGCACAACATTTGTAATTTTGAAATGATCTTGCATGCTTGAGATAAAGAATAGATTCAACTGAACTGTTACAAGTCAGTTTGTGTAGCTCATTTGTGGTCTGTCATATATGTAGGGTGTTACAGCCTGGCCACAATGTGCTTGTGTTATCACAGAAAATATATCACTTAAACATGTTTTGTCTACTTAAGAAAATTCCACAACAGAACTGGTCCCCCATCAACCAACGGCAAGGGCTGGCAGGGTGGTCAGACCTGCTGATTTGCTTCATTGTGTATCATTGCAAGCTATTCTCTGGCCCATGTTGTTGACCATAGAAATGTTATCGATCACTGCTACTGTATACAAGTTTGAGTGAATATGATGTATTAACTGACCTACTGGACTGATGATTTGCCAACAATAAAATTTACCCAGTAAAATTTACACCGTTATCAAGCTAAAAGTTTTTACTTGATAACAGTGTAATAATCTACAATGAAACATCACTCCATGCAATAACCAAGAAGTTGACTCACCAACTTCTTGAATGTTGATCAATCAAGACATGGTATCATGCTAAGATAAACAGTGACTGTCACTCTGCTATTAGCAAGACTCACCTTTTTTGGCGTTACCATTTCATTGATGTCCATCATCTGTTGTCGCAGCCATTCGACATCTTGCTGCTTCTGTCCGAGCACTTTCTTCATCCTCACCACCTCCTTCAGCAGCTTCAGGTTCTCTGATTCTGCCTGCTTGGCTTTCTCCATGGCCTCCTGCACCTGATGTCTGCATGAGTGCTGCTGCGCCAGTAGTTGCTGACGTAGCCTCACAGCCAGCATCGCTCCCCCTTCCTGGTCCTCCTCCATGTCCAGGAGCTGCATGCACTGGAAACGATCCTCCATCAAGGCATTACAGATCTCCACCAACAGTTCCAAGGATCTCTGGTAAAACAATGTTGTCAAAAGCATGTTATCATGCAAAATAAACTGTTTTAGTTGGACTTTAGATATATATTTTTCATATAAGGGCTTGATCAAGTCTTTTGTTTGTGTTTCATATTTTATTTGGGGGCCGTGGGGTAGCCTTGTGATTAAGGTGTTTGCTCATCATACCGAAGACCCGGGTTCAATTCCCCACATGGGCACAATGTGTGAAGCCCATTTCTGGTGTCCCCTGCCATGATATTGCTAGAATACTGCTAAAAGCGGCATAAAACTAAACTCACTCACTGACTCATGTTGTATTTGTCAGTAAGGCAATAGACAGGAAGGAAAATATTTTTTTTAAAACCAGAAACATTATCTGGATACAGTTTAATGATATATAGTCTGATATTTCATGTTAATTACCTGAAAACTGTTGAAATGCATTATCACTTGAATTTATATTCTACTTTTGATTTAAAAGATGTTTTCAATCTTAAATATCCCAAATTATTTTTGACTATCTATAAGACATTCTCCTACCTGTATTTCCTCCCTGCTGCTGCTGTGTGGTATTGAGTCCAGCAGTGAGTCACTGATGCTGAAACACTCCAGCAGAAGGCGGAGCTGGCTGCTGCAGTCCTGGAGCGTTGCAGCTGCCTTCAGCGCTGTCTTCCTGTTCTCCTCAACCTCCTTTAGGGCCATCCTCAGTTTCAGTGACCAACCATCTCGTTCTATCTGTAGCTTTGCACACAACCATTTTGAAATTTCTGCCTTAAGAGCACGCTCATGTAAAGCTTTGATGAGCAGAATCTTCTCATCATTGTAAGCTGCATTTAAATAATGTTCGAAAAATCCTTTAATGAATTCATTCACTGAAACTTGAATATCCTTGTCAATTTTGACATCTTCCCAGTTCTTGTCAAACACTGACTTTTCTTTTCCATGGATAACTAACATGTTTTTCATAACATTGTCGTGTTTTGAAGATGAAGATTTGGAATTTGATTCATAGAAAGATGTTTCCAAGTTTTTCCTTGGTTCCAGTTCAAGTGATACACAGTCTGTTTGGTCAGCTAAATCTACAGTCCGTGTTATACGAGACGAAGATGACTCAGTATTGCCTAAACCGTTTGACTCTTCATTCCCATCATAAGCTAGATCATTGGTGTCAAAGGTCTCTGATTTGGATTCCTCATCTGTGCCCTCTTCATTGTCATCAAAGTAATTATTTAGATCTACAGAGGTCTTGTCAACAGACTGAAGACTAAAGTCATCCTCCAGATTATCCACTGATTTAGAGAATGTGTTCTTGTCTGCAAGAGACAGTGTCCTATCATCTGAGGCCAGATTTTCAAGTGACTTGGACAGCCGCATTGATTCTCCCATTGTCATCATCCTGGTTCAAGATGGAGTTAGAAGCTGAATATGTCCCCTTCAAACTTGATTCTTCATGCTGTAACAAGTTTGATTGCAAATTAAATTTATATCAACATATGTATACATTATATATATATGCATAAAGACTACTGTGAATGTTCTATGCAGTCAAGACTTATTCCTGGTTTCCTGTTCCAAGTAACACCTGCAGACTGGAGCAGTCTCTGTCTATGACTTCTTTTATACAGAGAGCCATGACTCAAGTTCAGGTATGAACACAGGTGGTTTACTGTGACAGACTCTATCTATGACACTGTACACATCATATAGGCTCAAGGGGAAACACTTATTGTGATAGATATGACCAATAACTGTTTTATTGTGTCACAATTTCTTATAGTTTGTTGGTCACAATTTGCTCATTTCTCTTTCCCCTTTGAGAATTTGCATGTTTATCCACAGTTCTTGCCCATGGTTTGGTGAGAAAAGATGTTAGTTTATAATCACAACTTAATATTCTCTGGCATTAATGTTTTATGATTAAATGTGTCGAAAGTGAAGGTATGCCATCAGTGTGCTGGGAAACACTACCTGAAGTATAAAAAAGATATATATCTGATCCCACGGCACAGCCCACTTGATCTAGTAATATTGTTGACTGAAAGGAACTTTGAGAAGATCCCTGTAATATACTTATATACCATGAACTGCCATTGTGAGTTTATGATTGAATCTTTTATGTCTAGCACCAATGTTCAAGGACCTCTTCAAATTTCCTTGGCTTGCAATAAGTAGTTATTTATTGGTAACAATGTTTCCAGGTGGTATAAGGTTACTGTACCAGGAGTTACTCACCACAAGCAGTGTGAACATGTTCCTGACTCCGACAATAGTCGGACTGATCAACTGTGACCCTCACGTTCTGATCAGCTCAGTGTTAATCACGACTCAGTAAAAGTTGGCTTTCATGTTACAAAGCAGATATGAGATACTTTCCTCAATACTTGTATACACTTATATAGACTTTACATGAGGTCAATACATGTTTTATTGGAAAACAGACAGAGGACAAGGTCTGAGGTCCGAATATTGCCTTCTTTCAGGCCGACATAAAATGTGTGTCCTGAATAATTGTTTACTGTATAATAAAGAGGCAAAGGCAGATTCAACATATCATACTATGCCAGCAGCAATAAACGTTGGGAGATATTCTGGTGTGTGAGGTTGGGAGAATATTAACCACATCCTTTATAAAACCATGTATCAGTTATTGCCTTTTGTTGATCTGAGGATTCAGAGATATTTCTTAAAATTAATGTAAACATGTCAGATATTGTACTTTCAAATACATATTAGAGAGTGGAAGTTCATTGGTTCAACCAACAGCTGTTATACTGCCTGTTACCCTGCTTGGTATTGAGGATATAAAACAGGGTCTGGTCAACTTGGACTCGGTGTGGGATATCCACTTTGTGTGAGTAGGATATTTAAACTTCATTTCACGACACACAATTGTATCGTCAACACATGGGAGGAAGACACTAAAATGTGCAATTGCAAAGACTGATGCTCATATTTTCCGTTGATGAATTATCTGGTCCAGACTCAGTTACTAACAGACCACTGCCATGTATGTTGCTGAGTGCCACATTAAACAGCAGACCAATAAAAGAAGTTTGATGTCAGCTAAATAAATCATGTTGTGCACCGAGGTAGTTGATAGCATTGTATTGTATGAAGTAAATGATTGTAAGTCTTCATAAGTCTAATGTTGGTCTTTTGACATGGTCATTGTGGCTACTTGTGAAATAATACAAAATAAAACATGATATAGTATACATCTATAGAACTCCCATGTGTATATCTGGGACAAACATGAGGGTCGAGACAAAGATAACCCTGCATTTGATACCATGTATTTATAACAATATTCCATTTCAAGAAAAAGGCAGAGAATCTGAGATTCAAACCCATGATTAATGGATCATGCAGCCAACTCTGCACCACAATTGCAGCACCTTCAACAACTGGACCATCTTAGCCTCCATGTTACCTACAGAATAAATACACTCTCACTGCATGGCCAAAATGTTAGCTCGGTTTATCACCTCTGTTGTTGTGTTTTTGTACAAGACACTTTTCTTTGGTTGACTTTGGATTCTAGTCATGAGAAAAAACATGTCCTCTGAATGTCCCCACTGTTGCTCCAAGAACACATATTACCATGAAGTGAATACATTTTGTGTAATACCATTGAAGGCCATGTAGTCATAAACTTTATGGTCTAACACCCAACTTGCACTAGTTGACTCTTGTGTCTGGTTTTCTGTGTGCTACAGCTGTTTGTGTTTGAGAGGTTCTGCCCTTATTGTAAGTTCACCGAGGACTGTTGCATTATGAAGCATTACATTTAATATTATGCAGGTATGTCATGTGGAGGAAACCTTTTGGGTATAAGTACATGGGGTCAACTTTGTAAAAGGCCTCCTCTAATTTTTATGACTTCTCTTTGAATTAAACGGAATCTCTTTGCTAAAATTTGGTGAAATTGATGTACCCTTATCATATCCACAGTGATGATGCTAATCATTTCAAACTATAAGTCACATTTGAAACCTTTGTAAACCAATGAATGAATTAGCTGATATTTTATAAGAATTTTCCAAAAATTGAGGGGAGATATTCAGTTGGAAAGATACCATATTGTAAAGATATTTTCTAGGAAATATGCATATCAGATTTTACATAGTTTAAATGTGTGTGAATCTTATGAATACTTCTGATCTACATACACCAGTACATATATTTTTTTACACATAACAAACCCCTTCTGTGAGTCTGTGAATAGAGTGTCACCACAGACAGCAAAAAAGGTTAGTTCAGATCTCTGGCTCAAAGGTTCAAAGATGGTACTTGAAGTTACCTGCCTGGCACTCAGTATTTAAAGGCCATGACATACTGTGCCTTTGTGGGGTAACACTGTTAAACTGTTGTATGGCATCTCAGTGGGCCAGCACTAAGAATCTGCATCAACAATGATGATTAATGGCCTTGTTTAAACTTTTTGTGACTTAGAAGTAATATGTTTTTGATGTCATGAAAGTTGCCTAAAATTGGATCAGATAATGACAGTTTGCACCCTCACTCAGATTATGCCGTGACTGCTTGAATTGTTGCTCATGTTATCAACCACTGGTTTGTCTGGCCCAGTCTTGTTTCCTGGCATGAGATGTTCTTATCGGATCACATGTTTATATGTGCAACATGATTCATCATTTACATTCACACTCACACCTATGAGGTTCCTCATTCTTATCAAGAGAATGACCCAGTCTTTTGATGTAGGAGATCCCAGCCAATTGATCACCTTATATTGTTTCTTTACAGAGACTATTGTGTTGGCCGAATTATATTTTTTTTGTCAGCAATACATAACACTGGAACACAACAACTTAACTATGTTAAACTAGAGAAAGTCGTATTGTAAGGAAACAGAAATTAATGCTCAATGGACAGGTCATTACGAATGACCAGCCCATTTACCCATAGTAATTCTCCAGCACTCTCCAGCACTAATTCTGTGTTAATGATATATTCTTGACTGTAATCCCATAGGAGCCAGTCATGGTGATCATGATTGACTGATTTAATGAGGCTTACAGGCACTCTCCTTAGCTTGACCCACTCTTGCACACAAGCAATAAGATGCAGTCTGGGTATTAGGGTATTAGATCAGGTCTTTTTCTAGGACCCTGAATGTCATCCAAATGTCCCATAGGTACTCACAAATTTGATAGAAAATAAGAATGCTGTGTTAAAATTTGAAGAAACAACAACATTCAAATGACCCAAAGCACACGTCCTTGTGAGCATTTCCTTGCACCTGGGAACATGTCAGCAATAACTACTGCAGTATATATCATGGTAGAGATCAGTATATATATATATATATATTAATGGTATAGAAATGACTATTTAAACACTTGTATAGCATTATGACTTAGTACTGTTGTCTTGAAAGTATGTTCATTTTGTTTGATAACCAAATAAAAGCTATGTTCTTATGATTTAAGAAAGTATTTATTGAAAACCATGAGACATTATTGTTGTTTTGGGTTTTTAACAACAATAAAACTATGCTATTTTTCTGATAATTAACAACATTTCAGTGATGATCCTGTTTCTGACAAATATGTATCAAATTAACAGGAATTAGCATAAAGTATTATTATTACAACATGAAGGAATTGGAGAACAAATTACATTCATTGTTGGTTCATTTATTTACACATAGGGAATTAGCACCTCTTTCTCTCCATTTTCATTTTAGCTTCCAAAGTTAAAAGCTGTCAGGGTGGTACAATTAGAGTGATTGATTGAGTCAGTATCTAGCATCACATTAATGATATTCCCACCACATAATGACAGTAACAAACTCAGGGGTGGAAATAACCCATTGCCCGATGCCCGAGTCCAGTGTTTTTTTCTGTCGGGCAAGCAAATTTGTATATCACACTGTACCGGTGTCCAGTTGATATTCCAATGTTAATTATGTTGTTTATTTAAAAAATCAACAAGAAAACGGCTTGTATAGTGGAAAAATTATCAGAGCAAGTGATTTTACATGTGCCACTGTACCGGAGTACACTAGCAATTTTAAAGTTATTTCCACCCCTGAAACTATCCTTTCATAACAAGGACATACAAAAAGGCAGCAAGGTAACTATCAAAGATTCAATGTAAAATACACTAGACAGATGAAATAGATTATGCTGCACAATTTGAAGCCTTACAATCAAATTGATATATGTTTAATATTTTAGTTCCGCCCTGTCCTTGTGTTAAGCTGTGTGAGATACATTTGTGTTCCCACCTGTCAGGGGTGGGCTGGGGTGTGACTGTGCATGTAGACATGTGTTTAACTTGTTAGTGTTGATCAGGAAGCTCCCAACAGGCATAATGCTGGCTGTAATCTGACACACATGCATTCTACGCTACTTTCTGTCTCACAGGTCAGTCATGAAATAACACTGTGCACATGTAGATGTGTGCAACAGTGGG